AAGATAGAAATGAGCTACACAGTTATGGTTCATTTCCAGTAATCCCAGCAAAGAATAGACATGCTATCAAATCTGGCAGTTTAATGTCAAATCAATTTTTATACAGTTCCTGTTCATGTAATCCGTATATCAACAATCTTTCAGAGATTTCACGACAATGACAGATAGCAACTAAATGCAACAACAAATGGAAATCAAGTACAATCTCTCATGACAACAATCACTCACTGGGCTCCTAGCCCTCATCACTCCCTGGGCTCCCAGCCCTCATCACTCACTCTCAATGGGTACCCGCGCTCACTGGGGGTGTACAGACTCCGGAGGGGCTCCTACAACCCAAGCGCTATAATCTGCACGGACAACTCACGTGCCATAATATAAATATTTGGATCCGCACGGCCAACTCACGTGCTATAGTATAATATAAGGATCTGCACGGCCAACTCACGTGCTATAGTATAATATAAGGATCTGCACGGCCAACTCACGTGCTGCACGGACAACTCACGTGCTATAGTATAAATATCTCATAATCAGGCCCTCGGCCACTCAGTCATAAATCTCCCCAGTCTCTTGGGATCTCAATAATCATGAAATCAACCCAAACAACAATGATATGATGTATCCATAATAATAACAGAGACTGAGATAAAATATGCAAGTAAAACCTGAGACTGAGTACATATAGCATTTAGCAGGCAATTTAACAAGTACGCGACCTCTGTGGGTCCCAACAGTACTATCACATAGCCTAAGCATGATTTCTAACATGATTTACAGTCAAATTTTATCAACACATAAAGAGCATATAACTAACAATAAATTATTCAACTTTACAGTTTCCAGGGACGGACCAAGTCACAATCCCCTCGGTGCACGCCCACACGCCCGTCACCTAGTATGTGCGTCACCTCCAAAATAATCGCATGATACCAAAATCCGGGGTTTCATACCCTCAGGATCAGATTTAAAACTGTTATTTCCTTCAAACCGTGAAATTCTTATTCTGCAATGCCTTTTCCTCGTGAATTGGTCTCCAAAGGCCTCGAATTTGGTCATAAATAATTCATTTCAGTCGATAAAATTAATTGGAATTAATTCCATAAGCAAATAATGATTTTTCATAAAAATCCAAAAATTAGCTCAAAAATCGCCTGTGGGGCCCACGTCTCGAAACTCGACAAAAGTTATAAAATCCGGAAACCCATTCAACCACGAGTCTAACCATACCAATTTTACAAAATTCGACCCCAACTCGACCCTCAAATCTTCAATTTAAACCAAGAGGGTTTTCAAATTTTTCCAACTCAATTCACCAATTAAATGATAAAAACAACCATGGATTCGGGTAATTTAACCAATATTGAGTTAAGAACACTTACCCCGTTATTTTCTCTGAAAATCACCCAAAAATCACTTCAATCCGAGCTCCAAATCGTCAAAAATTAAAAATCAGAACTTAAACTCTCTGCCCAGACACTTTCTCTACGCAATCGCGAACATTCCCACGCGATCGCGAAGAACAATTTTCCATCGCCCAGATTTTACTCTACGCGATCGCGGACTTTCCCATGCGATCGCGATGCACAACATCACAGACATACGCAATCGCGAACTAGTCCACGCGATTGTGAAGCACAAAACGTGTGACTTCTACTCCGCTCCACTCATTCTACGCGAACGCGACCTTCGTCATGCGTACGCGAGTCACCAATTTTCAGAGCTACACGATCGCATTCCGCTTCACGCGATCGCGAAGCACAAAATTCCACTGCCTCACATTAACCCTACGCGATCGCAGATATCCCCACGCGATCACGTAGAACAAAAACACCATTGACCAAATAAGCCTACGCGATCGCAAACGCATTCACGCGATCGCGTAGAAGGAAAACATTAACAGATATTAGAAAATTCCAACAGTTATTCAAGTCCAAATTTTTGATCCGTTAACCATTTAAAACTCACCCGAGCCCCTCTGGACCTCGACCAAACCCTCAAATCACCTCAAACAACGCTAAAATCATGAATTACACCCCAATTCAAGCCTAATAAACTTTGAAATTTTTAATTTCTACAAACGACTCCGGAACCTATCAAATTACGTCCGATTGACCTCAAATTTTGCACACAAGTCATAAATAACATAACATAGGTATTCTAATTTTCAGAATTGGGTTCCGACCCCGATATCAAAAAGTCAACCCCCCGGTCAAACTTCTCAAAAATTTAACTTTCGGCATTTCAAGCCTAATTCCTCTACGGACTTCCAAATAATATTCCGGACATGATCCTAAGCCCAAAATCATCATACGGAGCTATTGGAATCATCAAAATTCAAATCCGAGGTCGTTTATATATAGGTCCATATCCGGTCCACTTTTCTAACTTAAATTATCAATTATGAGACTAAGTATCTCATTTCACTCTGAGTTTCTTCCGGACCCGAACCAACTAACCCGATAAGTCATAAATCAATTGCAAGACATAAGTTGAGCATAAATGGGGGAACGACGTTATAATATTCAAAACGAACGGTCGGGTCATTGCATTCTCCCCCTCTTAAATAAACGTTCGTCCTCGAACGGGTTTAGAATAATACCTGGAGTCTCAAATAAGTGTGGATATTTGTTCCACATCTCCTACTCAGTCTCCCAAGTAGCTTCTCCGACTGGCTGGCCTCTCCACTGCACCTTCACTAATGCTATGTTCTTTGACCTCAACTTTGAACCTGCCGGTCTAAAATAGACACCGGCTCCACATCATAAGTCAAATTATCGTCCAGCTGTACTGTACTGAAATCCAGAATGTGAGACGGATCCCCGACATACTTTCAGAGCATGGATACATGGAACACTGGATGAACACCTGATAGACTAGGTGGCAAAGCAAGTTCATAAGCCACCTCCCTAATTTTCTTAAGTATCTCAAAAGGCCCAATATACCGAGGGCACAACTTGCCCTTTTTCCCGAACCTCAACACACCCTTCATGGGTGAAATCTTGAGTAGAACCTTCTCCCCAACCATGAGGACAATATCACGAACCTTCCTGTCGGCATAACTCTACTGTCTAGACTGTGCCGTGCGAAGCCGTTCCTGAATCACTTTGACCTTCTCTAAAGCATCCCGAACCAAGTCAATGACCAATAGCCTAACCTCACCCGGCTCAAACTAACCCACCGGAGACCGACACCGTCTCCCATATAAAGCTTCATACGGAGCCATCTGAATGCTTGACTGGTAGCTATTATTGTAAGCAAACTCTGTGAGTGGAAGAAATTGATCCCAAGAACCCCCAAAATCAATGACACAAATGCATAGCATATCCTCCAATATCTGAATAGTGTGCTCGGACTGTCTGTCCGTCTAAGGGTGAAATGTTGTACTCAACTGAACATGTGTGCCCAATTCTCGCTGCACTGCCCTCCAAAACTGTAAGGTAAACTGTGTACCCCGATTTGAAATAATGGACACCGGCACACCGTGTAGGCAAACAATCTCGTGAATATAAATCCCAGCCAACCGCTCCGAAGAATAATTAGTACTGACTGGAATAAAATGCGCAGATTTGGTCAATTGATCTACTATCACCCAAACAGCATCAAACTTTCTCAAAGTCTGTAGGAGTCTAACTACGAAGTCCATGGTAATACGCTCCCACTTCCACTCCGGAATTTCAAGTCTTTGTAGCAATCTACCCGGTCTCTGGTGCTCGTACTTTACCTATTGACAATTAAACACCGAGATACATACCCAACTATATCTTTCTTCATCCGCCTCCACCAATAGTGCTGTCTCGAATCCTTATACATCTTCGCGGTGCCTGGATGAATAGAGTACCACGAACTGTGAGCTTCCTGGAGAATCAGCTCGCGCAAACCTTCTACATTAGGTACACACAGCCTCTCCTGCATTCGTAATACACCGTCATCTCCAATAGTGAATTCCTTGGCATCACCGTGCTGAACCGTGTCCTTAAGGACAAGCAGATGTGGATCATCATACTGGCGCTCTCTGATGCGATCATATAAAGAAGACCGAGAAACCACACAGGCCAAAACTCGATTCTGCTCGGAAATATCCAATCTAACAAACTGATTAGCCAAGGCCTGAACATCCAAGGCTAAAGGTATCTTTGCTACCGAAAAGTATGCTAAGCTGCCCAAACTCTCCGCCATACGACTCAAGGCATCGGCCACTACATTGGCCTTTCCGGGATGATAGAGAATGATGATATCATAATCCTTAAGCAACTCCAACTACCTTCGCTGCCGCAAGTTAAGATCCTTCTGTTTAAACAAATGTTGTAGTCTTCGATGATCTGTATATACCTCACACTGGACACCGTACAAGTAATGCCGCCAAATTTTCAAGGCATGAACAATAGCCGCTAACTCAAGATCGTGGACTGGATAATTCTTCCCATGTACCTTTAACTATCTGGACGCATAGAAAATCACCCTACCATCTTGCATAAGTACTGCATCAAGCAGACAACCTCTTAGTACTCAAATGAACACCCAAATATCTAAAAGGTAGCTCACCCTTTGTATAGCCTAGCATCTCTATAATTTATTTCTGTATCATATTATTCACTCTACCAAAATAAATGCAGCTCTTATTTGGATCGGCAATCAGGCCTGATGCTGCTGAGAATAGCTGGAAATGCTTGTGCAGTATCTGTACAGATTAAACATCACCTCTACAGAACAAAAGTAAGTCATCTGCAAATCCCAGCTAAACTAGGTTCAATCTGGCACACCTTGGGTGGAATCTAAACTGTTTATTATCTTTCAGTATCTTCAATAACCTACTTAGGTACTCCATTGCCAGAACAAATAAGAAAGGGGGGAGTGGATCTCCCTGTCTTAAGCCTTTTTTGCCTCAAATGGTACAGAAGGTTTACCATTGATAAGCACTGAGTAGGACACAGTTCTGATGCAAGCCATTATCCGCTTCACAAACATTGCAGGAAAGTTCAGTAGTCTCAACTCTTGTTCAATATACACCCATTCCACAGAGTCATATGCCTTATGCATGTCTATTTTGAGCATACATCTAGGAGATATATTCTTCCTTCCATATCCTTTGACCAGTTCATGGCTCATAAGTATGTTATCTGTAATCAATCTCCAGGTACAAAGGCAGCTTGACAATTATCTATCAAGTCTTCCATCACCCCTTGCATTCTTGTTGTAATCACTTTTGAAATGATCTTATATAGGACTGTACAATATGAAATTGGTCTGAAGTCCCTTATATTTATTGGATTATGAATCGTTGGTATCAAGGTGATTGTTGTGCAGTTGACAGCTTTGCACATATCTGCATTTTCAAAGAACTCTTGAACTGCTGCAGTGACTTCCTCCCCCAATATGTGCCATGTCTTCTTAAAAAAGTAGGAGTTGTACCCATCACACCCTAGTGCCTTGTTGTCATCAATGTCCATTATAGTTTGTTTCACTTCTTCTCTGGTAACTGGCTTTATTAGCTGTAATTGTTGCCTCCTACTTAGTATATGACCATTCTGCATGATCTCAGGGTTAACAACTGGAAATTGTTTTGCTGCAGTACCAAGTAGGCCCTTATAAAAGCTTAGAATTTCTTCCTCCACTTCAGCTGGACTTTGTAGAATTTGCCCAGTACTAATGACTAGTCTGTCAACGTTATTCCTTACTTGCCTATTTTTCATGCAAGCATGGTAGTATGCTATATTGGAGTCCCTAAGCTTAAGCCATTGTATCCTAGACTTTTGTTTTAAGATGTTTTCCTCAACCATCAACCATTTGTCCAGTTCTAGTTTTGTAGCTTTTTCAAGGGCTATTTTCTCATCATCTTGGCCTGGGATGTTCATTTCATTTTGTATACTCTCTAATCTCCCCCTTGATGCTAGTATCTTATTCTCTATTCCACTGAATTCTTGCTTATTCATGTGCTTCAGGGCCTCTTTCAGATTTCAGAGTTTAATCCACATAGATAGCATTGCAGGTCTTTCCTTTTTGTTCCTCCAGAAATGCTGCATTGTCCCCTTAAATGCACTCAAACTTGCCAAGCAGTTGAGAAATTTGAAGGGTCTCATGCCTGCTTGGTTATTGGTGTCAAAACTCACACTTAAAGGGCAGTGATCTGAAAATCCTTTGTTCATAGTTATCCCCTCCATGTGAGGCCATTATTGTATCCATTCTGCATTAACCGGGATTCTATCAATCCTACTATGGATATGGTTATTAGTCCTTGTGTATTGCCTTCCTACAGTTTTCAGCTCATCTAATTCTGCATCTAGTAAGAATTACTTGAAATCCCTTATCTCAACCTCTTATACAGGGTTACCATTAATCCTATCCTTACTACTTAGAACAGTATTGAAGTCACCCATTATGAGGCAAGGATTATTTATACTCTGCATTGATCCCAACAACTCCTCCCATAAGTTCTTCCTATCTTGAATTGTATGTTTACCATAGACTGCACAGTAATTGAAAATGGTTCTATGCTGCATCATATTTACTTTCCCCATTATAAACTGCTCATGAGTTCTGATAAGCACATAGTCCACCTGAGTTGGGTCCCATGCTATCCATATTCTGCCTCCAGGAGCTTCATTGTAATTGTCCACCCATTTCCAGTTGTTAAGGGCCTTCCTTATTATTGAGTCTGCATTACTTCTTCACTCTATGTTCTATTATAGCTATCGGCACCACTTTATTTGTTCTACAGAATGTTTTTAGTTCTTTTTGTTTATAAACTTTATTCAAACCCCTCACATTCCATCCTATAATGTTCATCATGATATGGATATTTATTGTGGAGTTCCTTCCCTAGCCTTCTTATTCTGTTTCTCCCTCACTCCTTGGGATTCAGACATTTGAACTATCTTTTGAGTTGTATCAACTAATGCTTTGAAGGCATTACCAATGTCCACTTCATTCTCCCTTGTCACTTCTGCATTCTTCTTTGTAGCAGATTTTCCTCGAGCAACTTGCCACTGTGGTTCAGCTTCCTGAATACTTTGCTGCACAGTTGGTGCTTCCTCTAACTGGTCAATGAATCTTCCTTGGGCATCAATTTTGTCAGCAATAGGCTCAAGTATTCTGACTTTTTTTCCACTCATGTTTCTGCTTCACTTCCATATTCTTTTGTATCAATCCTTCCTGCTTCTGCTTCCTTTGGTCCCTACATGAATGGCCTAATTGACAACATGTTTGGCAATATTGTGGCTTCCAATCATATTGAACCATTAGTTCTATCACCTTGCCTCTAGGATCATACAGCTTAACCTTCTCTGGCAAAGGTCTTGTAACATCCATTTCAATCAGGACCCTGGGATATGATACTCTTTCCGCTATTGTAGTTCAGGCATCAACATATAATGGCTTCCCCAGTCCACTTCTAATTTTACTTAGGGCTTGTTTACTCCAGTAATTAAGCGGCAAGTTCGGGAATTTGACCCATAAAGGGATGATTTTTAACACTTCTTCATTGAAATCAAAATTCTCCGACCATTGTCTAATAATAATTGGCCTACTATTGATTGTATAAGGACCATTCAGTATCACCTTCTCCCTCTCTTCATTGTTACCCATCATTGTGGAATAACACCTTAGGTTTCTGAACATTAACCCATTGGTTAGCTATGAATCTCTCAATAGCCCCAATTAATGGAGTATTCCCCACCACATAGAGTATAACAACTCGATTCCACTTTTGGTTTTCTTCTTCAATATCCTATTCTATCAATTGTACCACTACTTTACCATCCTTCATCACTCGGGGTATGTAAGTTAGATTCATACCTTTCGCTGCCAATTTATTCTCCGAAAGTAGTCCTGCCCATGATCGTCCCTTCTCCACTGCTGGTACTGTGTTTTTCTGCTGAGTTTCCTTCTGGTTATCGAGTGCAATGGTCCTCTGTTCCTTATTTGGGCTTGCATGTACTGTTCCATTGAATTGCACCTTGCTCGAGCTTGGTTGCTCATTTGTAATCATCACTGTGCTATTTCCTTTGCCAGAATTCACCGTAGGTGTCGCTCGTTTGCTAGAACTCACTGGTGTAGCTGCTTGGACTCGATAATTGCCCAGATCCAGCCAATTTGAGTCGATGTCGCTGTCCTGGTCCTGCTCCTCCTCCTGCATTTTCTCCTTTACTTTAGTATTCTTTTTGCCTTGCTCGCGTGTGATAACATCCGTCAATTTCCTTTCCATTACTGGTGTTTTGTTGTTGTTCTTCTTCAGTCTTCCTCTTCCTCCCATTTCCGGCGATGGCGCAGGTTACTTAGTCACCTAACGTGCGCCGAGAGAGAAAGAAGTTTTTATTCCAACTTTTTTTTTTTTTTTTACTTATTTATACTATTATAAAAGTACAAAACTTGAATACAAAATATTTATCATAGACAAAATGTGAGTGAAATCAATCATTAAAAAGGATAAAGAATGAAAGTAAAGAGCATAGAACGTTTTTAAACTTTTCATCTCTTTTGTTATAAAAATAGCTTAACCTCATTTTCTACATAAAATATCTATTTTAGAATCTTGATAAATTAAAAGTAAATATTATTTTTCTTATTTTTTAGAAATGTGAAAACTAATTGATTTATTACAGGATTGGAATTAGCATAAAGTTTTTATACTCCATTTTATACCAACTGATCTGTTATAAAGATCGATTGTCCAAAATTTACAATTAATATTAAATCTTCGTTATTTTTTTATACTCATTACTTGCCTTTTTTAAAATTCATTATCTTCTTATGTAATAACATTATGAATGTAACATTTATAAAGAGATGTTAGGGGAAATATAATAATATAACATATTTATTTTTTGATACAATAAATTATTTATAATTACAAATATTATGTAACTAATCCAACTAAATTCATCATCTTTTGCATGTTCAAAAGATATTGAATTTAACTATTCTGTCAATATAAATTAATTTCTATTATTTAAACATATATTGCATCTATTTTAACTTTAATTGCAATTTTTGTACAATTTTTTTGTCTTGTATATGACGCGATGTACACGTGCAACGCACGTACACTAACCCTAGTAACAAATAAAAATGCAACGATAGTATAAAACTCAAATGTGCTATCAATACATATAAGTTGAATCCTGCCAAAATTAGCTTTCAGTCAACTTCAGTGGGAGAGTTTCAAACTTAAAATTAAGAAAGCTAAACGGATAGGCTGGATTTTGTTTTTCTCACAAGTTGATGCACAACTGCACAAGTAATCGACGCACTCCATAAATTGTTCCGTCAATTTGAGCCAAGAGTTGCCTTGCTTGGAATTAGGATGACATGTTAATTTTTTTGTTCACTTAATAAAATAGAAGAAAGAAGATGAAATTTCATCACCTTTCCCTCCTTTTTTGGGGGGGTGGGGGGTGATGACTATCTTTTGAGATTAAATCGGACATAAGTAGAAGAAATTTGACAATGATAGGGAGTAATTATTAAATTTTCCATATTAAAATGATGGGGAGCTCTTCTAAAAAACTTAAGTCTATTTTATTTTACTGTCAAAAAGAGAGAGAAAAAAATTATTTGGGACGGTGAGAGAATCTAGCTTTAATTTGAAAAATATTAAAGTCTATTTTACGCCGTTTAATTTTAGTGAACATAGTATGTGAGTTTTATAAACTATTTTTATACTCTTATGCTAGCTCAAAAGAAGTGCTAACGTTTGTCTACTATTACAAACGTGAAGTAGCACTAGTAAAATGTTCAATTTGACAATAACAGAAGGTTATAGCACTAGTATGTAAAAAATTGTTTAATTCGAGAATAACAAAAGGTTATGTGATCGAACGAGTATTCAAATAAAGTATACTTTGGGGTCGTTTGGTAGCCGGTTAGAACGGAGTTATTCATGTATTAAAATTAGAATAACTTTATACATTGTTTGATTAGTAGAAGGGAAAAAAATAATTTCTACATAGAAGCTAGCAGCCTAGCATAAGTTATACAATGTTTGGTTATTTTTTCCTCTTTTCTACATAAAATGTAGCATTGCTAATACAATGTTTGGTTCATGTTTTTCTTTTAAGCATAACTAATACATATATAAGTTATGAGGGAATCTATGTATTATTTATGCAGGATAATAGATGGAATAACTTATACATGTATTAGTAATACTTGTATTAAAACACAAAATGACAAGAATACCCTTTGTTCAAACTTGTATTTTTTTGTTTAAAAATATATATTTAAACTATACTAACAATTTTAATAAAATAAAGTAAGCTAATAATAAATAACACTCACATTACATTAATATTACTAATCCTTCTATAACTATTGCATAACTAATCCATGCATAACTAATCCAAACATAACTCAACCTTGCATAACTTATACCTGCATAACAAATACATGCATAACTAATCCCTGCATAACAAATCCTTGCATAACTTATTCTTGCATAACTAATACCTATATAACTAATCCATGCACTACTAATACCTGCATAACTAATACCGACAACCAAACGACCCCTTAGTTTGTCTAAGCACCTTTCTACTTGAAAATTGAGAAAAAGAAAAACTAAAGAAAGTACCTGATAGAGCTTGATAATTGTGGGACCATATAAAAGTCAGTACAAAACGTGAATATAAGCAAATTACTCTATTGTCGATATGAGTAGCGATCAAATCCGTAACCTACAAATGAGGGACCATAATTTTAATTTTAAATTTATAAAAGGAAGGTGAAAAGAAGAAACCCCAAATGCCCAAACTTTTTTAAAAAAAGTCCCCACATCTCTTTAATTGGCATTATGCTCTCTGTTTTCTATATTTCTCCAAGACAAACACTGCCAACTTTCGCAGAACTCATTATTTTTTTTAATTCTGTAAGGGGGAATGTGATAGTACAGTAAAGTATGTCCAAAGAGAGCCCCTACAAAGTACAAATCCATTCAAAA